GTGCATCGGGAAGCACCCCTCTTGCAACCCTTAGAATTGAATATTTTCCTGTTACCCTTAGAAAAGAAACCCCTCTAGATTTTACTGATTAAATCATTATATGTAATAATAATTAATTTTAAAAAAGATGCAGCATTTAAAGTTCATCGGAAAGCACCCCTGTTGCAACCCTTAGAATTGTATAATTTCGTGTTACTTATAAAAAAAAGAAACCCAGCTAGATTTTACTGATTAAATCATTATATGTTATAATAAATAATTTTTAAAAAAGATTCAGCATTCAAAGTGCATCGGGAAGCACCCCTCTTGTAACCCATAGAATTGAATAATTTCCTGTTACTTATAGAAAAAAGAAACCTTGCTAGATTTTACTGATTAAATCATTGTATGTAATAATAATTAATTTTAAAAAAGATACAGCATTCAAAGTGCATCGGAAAGCACCCCTGTTGCAACCCTTAGAATTGTATAATTTCCTGTTACTTATAGAAAAAAGAAACCCCTCTAGATTTTACTGATTAAATCATTGTATGTAATAATAATTAATTTTAAAAAAGATACAGCATTCAAAGTGCATCGGGAAGCACCCCTCTTGCAACCCTTAGAATTGAATAATTTCCTGTTACTTATAGAAAAAAGAAACCCCTCTAGATTTTACTGATTAAATCATTGTATGTAATAATAAATAATTTTAAAAAAGATACAGCATTCAAAGTGCATCGGAAAGCACCCCTGTTGCAACCCTTAGAATTGTATAATTTCCTGTTACTTATAGAAAAAAGAAACCCCGCTAGATTTTACTGATTAAATCATAATATGTTATAATTAATAATTTTTAAAAAAGATTCAGCATTCAAAGTGCATTGGGAAGCACCCCTGTTGCAACCCTTAGAATTGAATAATTTCCTGTTACTTATAGAAAAAAGAAACCCCGCTAGATTTTACTTATTAAATCATTATATGATATCCTAATTAATTTTAAAAAAGACTCAGCATTCAAAGTGCATCGCGAAGCACCCCTCTTGCAACCCTTAGAATTGAATAATTTCCTGTTACTTATAGAAAAAAGAAACCCCTCTAGATTTTACTGATTAAATCATTATATGTTATAATAAATAATTTTTAAAAAAAATTCAGCATTCAAAGTGCATCGGGAAGCACCCCTGTTGCAACCCTTAGAATTGAATAATTTCCTGTTACTTATAGAAAAAAGAAACCCCGCTAGATTTTACTGATTAAATCATTATATGTTATAATAAATAATTTTTAAAAAAGATTCAGCATTCAAAGTGCATTGGGAAGCACCCCTGTTGCAACCCTTAGAATTGAATAATTTCCTGTTACTTATAGAAAAAAGAAACCCCGCTAGATTTTACTGATTAAATCATTATATGATATCTTAATTAATTTTAAGAAAGACTTAGCATTCAAAGTGCATCGCGAAGCACCCCTCTTGCAACCCTTAGAATTGAATAATTTCCTGTTACTTATAGAAAAAAGAAACCCCTCTAGATTTTACTGATTAAATCATTATATGTTATAATAAATAATTTTTAAAAAAAATTCAGCATTCA